CGCTTCGTCGCCGACTTCTCCACGCAAAAGCTGAGGACTGTACAACAACAGCTCAGACGCAACCCGGACTGCCAAATCATTGACAATAAACTGTTACGCCCCATCGTGCCGCGCAAAAGGCTCTCCCGCACGCCTCACTGGAAGCTCTGCATCCCCACTAGTCGCAGACCAGTCATCCTGCAAGGAGTGCATAACGCCGCAGCAGCCGGCCATCTAGGCGACAAGAAAACTCAAACGATTACAGCAGAACTAATACTGGCCCGGGATGTACCGCGACGTGCTCAAGCACGTACGAAGGGCCTGTCCTGCACCGAGTACAAGGTGGAATTAAAACAGCCAGCAGGATTGATGGCCACCATACAGTGTTCGCGGCCATGGGAAATCGTCACGGCCGACTTCGTCGAACCGCTTCCACGCTCCAAACAAGGGAACACTTGCCTCCTCGCCCTGGTCTATAAATTCTCTAAATGGGTTGAGTTAATCCCCGTGCGCCAAGCCATCGCCGCAAACGTAATTAAAGCGCTCCAGGAGAGAATCATTTACCGGTTCGGCTGCCCAGCAATCTTTCTCAGCGACAACGGGAAGGAATTCGTAGGAAAAGCGCTAGCAGCATTCCTCAGCGTACACCGCACCGAGCATAAATTCACCGCAGCTTACGCCCCTCACGAAAACCCGACCGACCGAACCAATCGGGTAGTTAAAACTGTGATAGAACAGCGCTTGAGAACAGATCATCGCACCTGGGATCAGGAGCTCCCCCAGAACGCCTTCGCCATAAATACGGCTCAACTCAAATCAACACAAGCCTCCGCCGCGGAGATCAACTTCCGGCGCAATCCAGTGGCGGCTTGGCAGATACGCTCCGAAGGGGCATTACCTGAAGAACACCCCACAGCACATTCAGCCATCACCGAGTTATGGGCAGAGATCAAGGGGCACCTCACCGCTGCGGCCAAACAGCAGAAACAGTATTAGCACCTACGCAGGCAGCCGTGAAAACCTAGAGTAGGAGAGAAGGTCATGAAGCGAGATCACCCTCTCTGCTGCCGGCAACTACGCACAGAAGCTCGCGCCGAAATTCTCAGGCCCATATACAATCACCAAGTACACCTCGACCAACACGGTGAAACTCGTAAACCCCGAGCGGCCCGACGCGCACCTGCAGGACCTGAAGCCATTCGCAGCTAGGCATGGGTAACACTGCGCTGTGCGGCGCAATTGCGTTAACACCGTGGCCGGAGTTGCCGCGCCAACACCAGTATATGGAAAGCGCCAGCGCCATTACACCAAGCAACACATGAGGCACCAACACAATTCGCCTTTGAAAATTTACATGTTCTTTGTTTTTGCTTTTGAGCGTTGAGAACGCAAATTTAAAGCTTTTACTCAAGAATGATGAGAATATCGTGCCATTTACTACATTCCTATCAATTAAATTTGGTTGGCGGTACAAGCGTTGCTCAGCGCCGAAAATTATAGAAATAATAGACATGACACCACTGTATGGCGTACTACACTGTATGACGATGGGTACTGTAGTGACACTCAGATGGCACCGTGTTCAATTCAGTACACTGCACTATTGCGCTGAGTTAGTGCGCTGACACCACAGGTGGCGCTGGCGTTATTGAGCTAGCTCTCAGTGCCACCTGGCTATCGCTTAAAATCAGGATCCTCTCGCTTCGATACTTTCTTCGAAAGTTAATCTGAGCACACAGACTTCCGTTTGAAATATTCTGGGGCACCGAAAGCTTTTTTCCAGCGCCATAAACATCTGCTTCTATCCCCTCAGAAGTTTTAGGGTCATCTATTACCACCCTAATGTGCTCACCTGGACGTATTTTTCCATGATAGAGGTACTCCACCCAGCCTTTCTGTGTGCTTAAACCTTAATAGTTTTTATAAAACCACTACTTAATGCCTGCCATTACTGTGGAGCAGAATAAGAGGATGCAGCGAGCCTAGGCTGTTCCTGTTCCTAGAAGACAAACCCTTACCTTTTCCAAAGCCCTCTATCGCAAAATTAAGGAGAGTCCGGTTTGCTGCCTGTTTGACAGTGGCCCAAGTTCCAGCATTACCTCCAGCGTCCCCCTACTCCCCTAATGCAAACATACACCAGGCGTTGGTCAGGGACTGCCTCACCTTTGCTAGAGTAGTCCTGGAAGCCCAAGACACTGCCCCGTTGGTTGCTGTTGGTTTTACTATCACCAGCGCTCTCGTAGCCCTGACCGCCTCGACATGAGTCCTCCACAGGAGTTTCGAATCCAGGATAAGTCCCAGGTACTTCACTTCTAAGGCGGCGCCGACCGTGGCTCCCTCCAAGATCAAATTTCTCATCCCCTCGATGGTTCTGCGTGTGGAGAAGGAAAACAGACCATCAAAGGTGACCCCTAAATGATGATTGATGCCTGACCTCTTTCGTCTAGGTGGTGAAGAAGGTTTCCGTTGATTTCGTCGGTATGAGAGTTAGGCTCATTTCAGTGAAGAAGCGAGAAGTATCGGAGAGGTAGCCTTCGTTACCCTTGCACAGAGGTCATCATCGGATGCTAATATCGAAGAGTTGTTAGCGTATGAGGGAAATTCCCGTTCCCACGACAGTCGAGTCTACGTAACCGGAACGACCTAGATTATTATTGAGGAATTTTTATGCTGTTACAACATCAGGAATATTATTTCCGGTAGCAGAGGAAGTTTCGAGATATAGAAGTTAAATAGTAGGGGGAAAGGACGTCACAATGTAGAACTCCTTGCTTAATTATTCTAGGTTTTAAAGTTTAATTCTTAAAAGGTCACTGACGACTGCCGACTACTTATATAATTCACCGACCGCCGTTGGAGTCCCTGTGTGAGAGAGGAAGCCTCAATGTCTTATAGTAGCGTGGTCCAGCGCTACTACATCTGTTCTCTCACAGGGACGGTTACGGTTAAGGCCACGATTTATTTGAGAGTTTATGGCGTTAACTGATGTTGTGGTGCTGCTTTGCACTTCAAGTATGCTTCATTGGGGTCAGGTGGTATGTGAAAAGCGGTGTACCAAGGCCTCAAGTGTCTTCGCGACCGGGGAAAGGAGCGTTATCGGTTGATAGACTCCTTTCTTGGCTGGCTTCACCGTTTACAGCAGTGGGTCCACTCTCTCCGATTTCCACACATCGGTAATGATGAGAGTGAGAGCAACAGAGGCCACAAAGTTTGTGGTCCACTCCCTGTGAAATCTTGGGCTTGGGCAAGGGTTGCACTCAACCGAAGTGGAGCTCGGATGAATTCGTATTTGGCTGGAGCAGCAGAAGTTAATTTCTGGTCCGTAATTGGGCTCAATGCCCGCCCGACGAAGCATGCGGAAAAATCCGGCTGCAAGGCATTGCTCCTTGGACGAAAACCGATTGATGGCGTTCGCCGATCTAAACGGAGTTAGATCGCCAAAAATAGCCATTGGTCGGGAAACCCCCCGAGTCATTCCCTCCCACGATAACTGAAGCAGGATGAAGTTTGGGGAGGGGTCGCAAAAAGATGCAAGTGGTGTTTGTTGTGTTGTTGTAGCTACAACCCCCCCCCATATCGGCTAGTCTCTCAGTCCTTGTCGTCAAGCTCAACTAACGGGAGACCAGTGAAGCGTGCAGCTTCTTTGGGGTCTGTCCATAGGGACAAAGACGTCAGCTGAGTGGGGTTTTGTGGGCATGCGGAGATGTTTCGAGTCGTGGGGTTGTTGTTGTTGTAGCGGCTATAGCAACCCTGCCCAGATCGGTTAATATCTCAGTCGCATCAAGCTCAACTAACGGAAGACCCAAGAAGCGTGCAGCTCTATTTGGTCTGCCCAAAGGGACATTTGGCACATCTGCTTAGGTATGCGTTCAAACTGCTGCAGTAGCCAGAGCGAAGTTGGACTGTTGTGGTCCGAGTCCCACAGTTCTGGAGTCTACGTAACTTGAGACTGACTCCCTGTGAATGCCGCTCTGGGCCTGTCGATATGCTGGCGGGTCCAGAGGTCTGAACTTCGTCCGTCAGTTCGAAAAGATGCCTTCTAGCATGCCATGGCGAGGGCTCCTCTGCAAGCAGGTGTCTTGCAGGTTGCTTGCAGAGCAAAACATGAGGCACGCTTGTTGTTGCCAGTTTGTGAAGCCATCTGGTCACTCGGCGCTAGACTTTGTCCACCGGAGGAACCAGTATAAATTGTCGGCTAAAATAGCTCGCGGGTCCGACGAAGCACGGTCGCCGAAAGATGTTTCCACACTGTCGTCGCGCTTTGTCGGATTGGACAGTGACCTCACGATTGACCAAAGCTTACTGACACCAGAGGTGAAGTTGCAAGTCTTCAGATGCTGTTCCCACTTTTTCCGCTTTTGTATGTTCACAAGCTGCCGAATCTAAGTGTTGAGATTCCTGATACGAGGATTTCTGGGATCGGCCTGACAAAGGTTGTCACGCTCAACGGCTAAAACAGCCGCTTTAGCATGAAATTTGTACGGGTGTCCGTTATACAACCTGCTGGTACGAAGCGAGCTGCAGCAGCAGTGACAACCCTGCGGAGCTTGCGTTCACCTAGGTGATCGTCGGTTGATGTGGGGAGCGCAGCGAAGGTGCTTTCAGTAAATTCCGCGAAGGTTTTCAAATACGCTTTAGTAAAGTTGATATATGTCCGGTGTCCCACGGAAGCAAAGTCAGTAGGTTTGTCGATCGATATGACTATGGGCAGATGGCCTGATGCCAAGATCATCATAGGTCGCCATGATATCTGCTTATCAGACAAGCGCTGACTATTGTTATGTCTGGCGAGCTGCAGCAGCTTGTGCATCGTCGAATCGTCCATCTGCTCAGTGTTTTCCCCTACGATCGTTTGATAGGCTTGAATGCCGAAGATTTTGGTGCGCATTAAAGTCGCCAACTACCATACGGCTTTCCCCTCTGAGGAGCGCACCAGTTTCAGGGTGATATCCTGCCGGGCAGCTGGTGACAGGGGGTTTATAAACGTTAATTATTTCGAGCTCGACATCGCCTGATCAAATAGCAATGCCCTGACATTCTAGGATGGTATCCCTGCGGTTGATGTCTGCATAGGCTGTGTGCGCTGCTGTGGGAGGTGCCGCCCAGTGGTGGCAGTTGGTAGCTCGCAATTGGGGCTTGCGATCCTGCAGCGCAACACGGGCCCTCAAAGTTCCTTGCGTGGTGCGCAGATCTGAACATGCCCTGAAGTGACACCAACCAAGTCAGGTGTTGCACGTGACTGATGTCACATTACGGAATATTCTGGTCTGACACACCGTGCAGATTGTTGGAGGAACCAGGAGTTGTTGGCGGCGGCGTATGGGTAGTGATGCGGTCGTGTCTGTTGTATGGTCTGTCGTGGTTTGGTCTATTGTGTTGTATTGTGGTGCTGTGGTATTTGTGTTGAGCTACTCAGGCGGACTGGGGTTTACCGTGGAGGCTGTTGTGTTTCAGCAGCAGGAGGCTACAAATGATGTGGTCCTCTGTCGATATGTCCATAGTCCTGAGCAGACTCCCAGGTGACTCTACCCGTTGCAAGCATTGCACTTGACTGAGGTGGAGTTGTGGTAGTCTTCTCTGGCATACACAGCAGGTGTAAGTTTCAGGCCCAGGGTTTGACTCGATGCCAGCCCAGAGCAGAAGAGTACGTAGCGGATATAGCCCTAAGAACGAACAACGTGTGAGATATTTCACCGACCTTAACGGGGTTAGATCGCCGAAACAACAGCCCTTAATCAGGTAAATCCGAATCATTCCGGTACGTAGAACCGTGTCGTGGGAATGAATATGATTTGTGGGATCACTCCACATGCCGGACACTCATTGGACACATCTGGATCTAGTCTGCTGAGGTATGAGTTCAACCTACTGCAATAGCCAGAGCGAAACTGGGCTATTGTGCTCCCGAGGTAGACGAAGCTCCGTCTCGTCCACGTCAGATTGTTGTGTGCCCAGAACGGCATTCACAGGTCTGGAGTACGTAACTTGAGAGCGACTCCTTGTAAATGCTGCTCAGGGCCTGTCGATATGCTGTCGGGTCCAGGGGTTGCTTTATGAACCTCTGGACTTCGTGCGTCAGTTCGTATAGATGCCTTCTGGCATGCCTTGGCGAGGGATCCTCGGGTGTCTACGTCTGTGGCTCCCTACTAGGAATTGCTTGCAGAGCATTGTGTTGTGCTCCTTTATGGGGAGCATTTTCTCCTCGTGTTCTTCTGGCGACATCAGAATACATCCGGTCGCCGTCTGGAGTGCTGTATTTTCAGTCGTCTGGAGCTTCATCCACTGCGTCCTACTGGTCCCCGCCGACCACGTATCGTCATTTAAAGTCCAAAACCGCGTATCGTGGCTCTGCAAAACTCCGTAACTGAATTTTTTGCCAAAAAAGATATTTGCTCACTAGAAGCTCCTGTCATCAAATCCTTATCCACTCAAACTAAAATATCGATACTTAGACATAGAAGAAGAGATAATTGGAGAAAAAAAAATAAGACTAGTTTTCTTCTCTCCCATAAAATTTGAGCACCCTGACATACCGACGTTTTGAAACGACGATATGTTCTTATATGACTAGAAATAGCCTTATGTATGTATGTACATATTTGGGAATGTTCATACCAGGATTTAGTTTGTTTAATTTTTTTTTATTGATTTCTTACCAGTTTTTAATAATGACATTTTCAATTTTAAGCTACATACACATGTATATCTCATTGTTGTGAAAGACTTGTCAATATTAATTCTACTTACATAATAAAACTCAATTTAATCTTGTAAGTTTGTAATGCAAATACTTTTTATCTTAAATGCGGACATTTTTATATAATAAGTGTTATTAATCTCGTTTTATAAAAAAATTTCAGTACATTACAACGTACATTTTAGCATTTCAGTTACTTAATATGTTCGTACAATTTTAATCAACGAAAATTTACGGTCTTAACATCCCAAACTATTTTAATAAAAGAATACCTACAACACTGCAAGCAATGTAGACAATATCAGAAACAAAAAAAAATAAATGCATCAAAAGCTTTTAAACTAAAATAGAAAAACTTGTACAGGTAAAAGGTTTTAAATACTCAAAAAATTTGTAGTGACCAAGGACAGTCACAGCTGCCAGTGTGACAGTCACTTATCCTCTCCTCTCTCCAAAAACATAATGAAGTAAAAAAGTTACAGTACACGGTATTATTTACGTCGCCTTGCCTTGCGATAGCCCTTGCCGTACCAGCCCGCTTGCGTGCGCGCCAATTTTCTCGGGAAAGTGTTGTTTAACTGCAGCTGTCGCTTTGCCGCCTCTGCCGCGGCTATATGTGCCAATGAGATGTTCTCATCGTAATCATCATCATCCTCATCTGAATACGAGCAACACTCACACACCACAAAACGTCCGTTGCGTGCGCGTTTCTTATGCTTGCGTTCGTTAAGGTGCCACTTCCGGTAGAACTGACACTCAAATTCCGCATAGTTATTAAAGCAGAATTCACACTCGGCCGCCGCCCGATTCAAAGCAAATATCGGTACTACTTGATAGTTCCAAATATTCAGGTCGGCTGGCGGCGGATACACTATACTATGCAGACCAGAGTATGCATACTTGACATCGTACCAACAGGGCAACTTGCGCAGTAGCCAATACTGTTGTGTGATATTTTTGATGCCACTACTATTAACTGTGCTCTTCCTTGCCAGTTTCAGTATGTCCATTTGGGCAACTACATTTTCACAACTTGCCTCTTCTTCATCAGAGTTGAGCGCAAACTCTGTGGCCTGCAACGTTTTGAATAGATCGGAAGTGGGTGTATCATTTGATTTAATCTCGTCATTAATTGGTTTGTTAGTCACTGCTGCAGTCTGCCTGATAGGCACCAATGCCGGCATTTCAAGGGGGATTTCTGATTTAACCTCAATTGCAGTTTCTATTTTTACTTGTATGCTTTCCGTTTTAGGAGAGTTCAAATTCTCCAACTCCTTTTTGGTGTTGGTTAAGCTTGGAGTGGGGTTTCGCTTGGCTTCCGTTGCATCATCTTCTATTTTCGGCACAGACTCCGTGAAAAGCGTCACTGCTTTTGGCTGTATTGGCATGGAACCACCAGCGGTTGACTCCGATTTTATATTAGGTTCTATTTTCATTTCTACATCTTTAGAATTAGTTATTATATCAGAGAGTACACTATTAGTTTCGGGGTTGAGCTCTACTTTAATAGAAGCAGTCGATGTATCTACAGTCTGGTCATCTGATTTCGATTCACTTATATTTGTATTGATTTCCTCTTGTTTAATGCTCTCTATTTTCGGCTGCCCTTCTTGAGATATGTTTTTTAAAATATTTTCGCCTGTTTCCATTAGATCAGGTTGTGTGGCAGCATTCGTTTTCGGCTCACGGTCCTCTTCTTTTATACTTAGGAGTATGTCATATGCGGTTGTTTTGTTCTCTGGCAGGTTGGCGTTACTGATATCTTCCACAGTCTTCCTTGCCACTTCAGAAATCTTTTCATTTTTTTCACTCTTAGAATCATCCTCACAACTCTGTGCACGACTGTCCAAACGCGGCATCTTATATTTCAGTTCAAGATTGGTTTTGATACGCGTACTGTTTTTCAATGGTGTACGTATTCGAGGACCTTTACCTATTGGCAAATCGGTGCCGCTATCCCCTGACATAATCGAATCAAGCGTTTCCTCGGTTGCGCTGGTGCATGTGTCATGCTCATCCTCGGCAGTCTCAGTATCTTTATCTGCATCTTCGCCGGCTCGCTTTAGCAGCGGTTGTGTTAGTGTGTGCAACTCCTCGGGCATAAGCAGCGACGCGTGCGCAAATATAGGGTCCTTCTCCTTTGTATATATCGGCACGCTTATGTTTAGCGCACGCATCAACATTTCCATAACGCGATCACATTTTCCATTTATTTTTATTGAGGCAATACTATCTTTAGGTGTCCATTGCAAGTTAACAATACAAATTTTTGCTCGTTGTTTTGCTGGACGATCCATTTGCCACAACCATGTGTACTTTTTCAAAACCTTCAAACTGGATCCCAAGCACAATATAACATCGCCTTTCTCCGCATGGTGACAAGCGCCAGCCCAATTCAACGGCCATTTGAGATTGCCACGCTCACCAAAATGTACAATAGTATCGTAGAGCGGTTCGGAGCAACGATGGCAAAGACGATTCGTTTTGTGGCTGTGACGCGCCGTCATTTCGGTGGTGTCAAATAGCCGCCAATACACCGCTGGTCCTGGTTTACAATGCTTGCACACCTCCATGTACATGTTACCATGTATTTCGGAAAGTGAAGCACGCGGTAATCCAGAACGCAAATGCAATCCATCGCAGTTTTGTGAAACAACATAACGTAAAAGTCGTCGTCGATGTAATTCGTAGAGAGCCATATGTGTGTACGTGGGATTTGCTGCTGACAAATCATGTTCGCCAATGTCTTCGCCTTTTTGCAGTAACGTCCAAATACCTTTGCTGCCGCGATAATCAGGTATTAAAGCCGATGTGCTGATGCCTGCGCCCGTATAGCAAATCAGGTGCTTCGATTGTGAAATTATCGCAGCCAACTCTTCTACCTTTGCCTCGATGACATGCGGTTCATCTTCCTTTTCAATAATGCGGTCTTTGTAAATTTCAACTCGTTCTTTTCTTTTTTTTATTTGTTTAACAATATCAGGATATTTTTCGCACAATTGTCGTTCCTCAGCAGTCAACAACGATTCACATTTCTTGAAGATGTTTGATATCTAAAAACAGTAAGAATTTAATATTGATAACAAATATGAAAAAAAAACGTGAATATGTTTAAGCAAGTAGGCATTCATTCACATCACCCCCGCAGTCACATGTACACTTGCATGCACCATGGTCTAAGGGGTGTTTCTCTCTACTCGGTGTCATTAAACTCACACCACCATCGAGTGGTCCCACCCTCCAATTTATGCATACATTAACCATACAAAGAAGACATGTGTGAATGATATTTCATCAATTACCTTTCGCATTGCATCTTTGCGTCGGCGTTTTTCATTATCACTCTTGGCAGGATTCATTTTGGCCCGTGTTATGTAGGCGCCCGTTTGACTTCCCTTCTTATTTCCATGATCCGCTTTTGTACGGTTATTATCGATGTCGAGGGATACAAACTGATTTTGCAGAGCATTGTGCGCGTCCAGTTTCAGCTCCAACTTCATATTCGCCATGTCTATATCTCCTTCGCCACCTCCAAATAACTCAATCTCACGCAGCGGATTCGTCACGTTCGCAAGAACTCGTTCAGCAACAATATTTTTTATAACTCCAGTGTATGTGGTACACATCGAAAAACTCACGCACAAAACAAAACAATTAAAATCTACGATGGTCAGCGCATAGCCGCCATCGTTTGGAAATTATGTAAAAATCAATTGCCTCTATATGCAATGGGCTGAATCGAGAACAAATTGTCCGTTCGATTTTTGCTCATGTAACAATACAACTTATATCCTTTCACACTCATTTACACATTTTGTTAATAATACTTTGTATTCTTGTAGAAAATGTAAACAAACAAACAAACAAGCGCGTACTACGCGAAGGCGCTGCTTCTTCCTCTGCTGTCGCTGACGTTGTCTCGTTGATTTTGTCTTCGTAGGCAGTGATGGAAAAGTAGGCGCAATAGGGCCCTTTTTGGCATTTCATTCACAGAGGCATAATTCATTCAGTGTTGTCACAATCATGAGCAGCGTTGCCGTTTTGGTCCAATTGGACCAAAATTGGTAGCTTCATTCTGCGTTGGTAGCTTGGTTGGTTTGATGCAGCTTTTGGTAGGCAAAAATGTTTTCAAAATACAACCAAATAGAACATTTACATTTGTTCGCTTAATTTAAGTTTACACGTTCAAAACACTGCTTACACGTATAAGATTTCTCTATATTTTTATATATTTTATTAAGCAGACAATTTTCTGCCATCAAAAACTCACTTGCCAAAGCTATGACCGATTAGCTGTTGAAATTAACAAGAAATTACCTATCGTTTTGAAAGAAAAATTGGTGATAGGCAATTTGCAAAGTGTGAGTGTATTCGTAAAAAGGGTGAGTGCATGCAAATTGAATCAAATTTGGAAATTTTTTTATTGAAATGCATAAAATGTCTGCTTTTGTTTTTTCACACAAAAAAAAAAGATTTTTGATATGAATTGAATCAATCTTAAAGATATTAACATATTTTACAGAAGTTTTTTATACAATACCTTATTTAAAGGCCCGAATTTATTTTGTTTAATCTTAAAGATTGGTGTGAATAATTAACCAATACTGTAAACAATATAATGTGTAGTTCTAATTTTCACTGCTAATTTGTGTAGCTAAAACCCCCGCAAACTCGTGAAATCTCGTTTTAATGATGAAAAATTTTGGTAGTTTGGAAACTGATTTGGTAGTCGTTTTGGTACCTAAAAATGGTTTCAAGTGGTAACACTGATCATGAGTTGCGATCCCATACGAGTTCGGACTTGTCAGAAATAGTCAGAATCAGTCAGATTTTACTGGAAATCGATCCCGTACTCGGTTCTCTGACTAATGAGAGGACAAAAAAGAGCGTAAATAAGGTTCTCTCCATGATACAATAATTTTTAGGAAGTAATTTCACTTCTTCTCCTTATCCGCCATGTTAGCTATCTGACAGAAAACGTATTTTTTGTTGTACCAACTTTTTCAAAAACAAAATTCCGGCTTTTAACGTTGGAAAAATAAAACGAAGGAAAGCCAAACATATACGAAATTATGAAAAGTTCACTGATGCTTCCGTGGACATTGCAACACACGCAATAGATGTAAAGGCCCGTTTACATACAACCTTGGCGTTGCGTTGGCGTTGGAGTCGCTTCGCCAGCTGACTATGAATATATGCATTTACATGTCTCCACATAACCAAAGTTAAGGCTCAGTTATGCACACTTTGCAATGCACTGCATAACATGTCATTTTACGTAAAAATCAAAAATCAATAGACTCTTAGATATGTAATGGTGTGCGTTTGGTAGCCGCTTAAAGGCCCCGCCAGATAAAAATTCTTTTCTGCGTCACAGGGATGCTTTTGACTGACAAGACGCACATAACATTGCGAGGCGCCACAATGAAAACGTTGCCGCAAACAAAACAAAACATTTTGATTGGCCAAAAGTCAGTTGGTCTGAATTCGTTCCATACATTGTTGTTTTACCACATTGACGCGCGTCATAAGTTGAGAGTTGGGCGATTTTTATCAGTTGCGGCAATGCATGCGTTGCCAATGTGGCGTCTTCTATTTAAAATCCCAGAGTTAACTTCGATGTCAGTCAAAAGTATCCCTGTGACGCAGAAAAGAATTTCTGTCTGGCGAGGCCTTAAGGTCCGTCCACATAGAACTTTGGCGTTGCGTTGACGTTGGCGTCGCTTCAACAGCTGACTATGAATACATGAATTCAAATGCAGTCGTCCACATAGCTAAACTTCGATAACGCTCACGCCAACACAAAGCAAAGAGATGGCCAACTCTCAACTTATCGCGTGCGTCGCTCATCAGCTGTTGCAAATAAATAAAACTATGTGGAATATTTTTCCTTTTTAATCAAGTGCTCGCAAGAAATATCGTTTTTAATGCAATTATTGTTGTGAAATATTAATTTGTCTGTCGTTAGTATGTTAATGTAGTGGCCCAAGCATTCGCTGCCAAGTGTTCATTGTAGCAAGCATATTTTTAACGTGCGTTTTGCCAAACCAACGCCAACGCCAAAGCCAACGCGAAAGTTTTATGTGGACCGGCCTTAACACGCAAAGCTCATTTAACAGATTCCCTATGTGACAACTTCCATGCAATGCCAAGTATGCATAACTGAGCCTTTAGGCAACGCAAACGCCAACACAACGCAGAAACATGGCCAACTCGCAACTTTTCCCGCGCGTCGTTCATCATCTGTTCCAAATAATCAGTGATTTAATTTTCCTTTTTAATCAAATGATATAAAATGTTGATTTATCTGCCGCTAGCATATTAATTTAGTAGCCAAAGTATTCTCTGCTAAGCGTTCATTGTAGCAAGCACGAGCGTTAAGCTGCCTTTACATCGCATGCAAAAGTTGACTTGCTGTCTATTTTGAAGCAAGCCATTTTTGAATCACTATTTACACGAACGATTTTTCCAGAGCAATGTTGAATCGCCTGAAAAATCGCCTCATGTAAAGGCAGTTGTCAAAGCGACGCCAACGCCAACGCAAAGCCAAAGTGGTATGTGGACTGGCCGTAATAGCCCATTTATGCATACTTAGCTTTGCATGAGATTTGTCACATAAGAATCTGTTAAACGGGCTTTGCGTGTAAGCGGTTACCCAACGCATAGCACTTAACATGTAGAATTCTGTTGGGTTTTGATTTTTACGTAAAAATGGTATAGCAGTAACTGGGCTATAAGGATTCAGCTATGTATATGTAAAGCCCAAAATACAATAACGCAGTGGCAGTGGCAGTGGCATTTTTTTCGAAATCAGCATTTTTTAGAAAGTGTGGTGTCCAATGAAGTGACTCACAATACAGCAGTGGCAGCTAGCAGTACAGCTCAGTTTAGCCCAAATTCTAAATTCACTGCCACTGCCTTCATCGCAGCAAACTTCAGCCCAAAATACAATAGCGCAGTGGCAGTGACAGTTTTTAAAATCAGCTGTTACTGCTAATATTGGCAGTCACTGCCGAAGTAAACACAATACGGCGTTGTCAGTATTCCGTCCACCATTTGCAAGGATTTTTTTTCTTCGGATGTTCGCCTGGATACTCCAGTCCACGAGAATTGCATCAAAACTTCAGACTGGAACACACAATCAATTACTTTTTAGGCAATCTTTGAACGATCTTCTACCCCAGTACGGTCTCCAATTTTCGATAAAAATGCAATCTACAGACGATTGGTTAAAGTGTAATTCACTCGGCACTAGCAAATAGAGAACATGTTTGGCTTACCAGCTGAGTTCGAAACTCTGCATCTTTTCTAATTTTATCATCTAAGTTAAATATTTCTTCACCCGATGATAATGGGAATTTAAAATGTTGAAGCAAATCTGGTTTGGCGTTGAGTACTGGTACTTCTTTACGAGAATGATCCTGATTAGAAAGTAATCGGAAAATTTTGTCCAAGCTCAGGTTAATTTTTGAAAAATCATCCTTAATCTATTGTTTTATCTCTGTTTTGAATGTAGTTAACTCATTCTTCGGCTTACAAACCTCATTTTTAAGATTACTTATTTTATTTATAACCTTATTTTTGCCGAGGTTTGGTGCTGCAATCTCTAGAAACAAGATACACGTTACAATATGATTTCAATATACCAAATATTTTATTAACCTTCATCTAAAATATTAATGCCAAAGGTCCCATTACCGTCCGGCTCTAAAGCTATTGGGCTATATACCACTTCCTGAATTTGTGAATTACTAGGATAAATAGGTAAGCTATGTTCAGTAATCATATTAACAAACAAATGATTTATATCTGTTAACTGTTGAGTAATAGATTTATTTTTATTGGTTCGCCTTTTTTTACGCTCCTACTCCAAGAACAACCTGAAAAGGAATGATAATAAACACTTGTACTATGTTCGTTGAAAATACGAACGTTTCCTCTGAATCTGTGTCAATGCACTGTGTTGGTTGTTTATCAATTGCCAAAGCGTCTCCAAATGTAAGAATTCCAGAGAATTTAAGGACACAGCAGTACTCCACCCATCCCTCTACAGGTACGCTCGCAGCATTCGATCTCAAGTTTTCCTTTGGGGAATGGCTCAAATGTTCTGGCCACAACAGAACTCCATTACTTTTCCATTGATGGGGAACAACAGAAAAATGTTTTTTTTTCCCACGTTGAAACAATTTTAAAAGAATCAATGCCTTCGAACACAAAAAATTTTACTAAAGCCAGTGTTTTAATCGGTTTACTTTTTATCAATAAGTCTGTACCAGTCTGTAATTACCCTTTTAACATGATTCAATAATACAAGGTTCGATAAACTGACAGTTGTCTCACTCGCACCGCTCCCTTAGCAGTGGTAGAGTGTTGCTTCTTTGCAAATTTACTTGGAAAAAGTGTAGCTTTGCTGTGAAATAGAAGTACATATAAGCTTTTGTGCAATATGTTTATTTGTATATGCATATGAAGCACATTTAACTGATGAAAACATAAATTGTTTTTAAATTGGATGTTTACATAAATCTCATAATAGTTTTATTTAAATTTTGAGTTCTTTTGATTTTTTTCTACAGCTAAATAGCACATTAATTACGTAATTCACGTAGATGTATTAATATTTCGTTAAATATTTCGTTTAAACTGCCAGATTTCCTTCAAATACATTAGAATTTAAAAAAGGAATTTCACTTCTAATTGCCTACTTTGCGTACTTTTCTTCTACCATTTTCGCAACAAGGGATTGCATTCTTTCCCTTTCTCTGTCCTTCGTAAATGCAACCTTTTGTAAGGGAGTGTTAAACCGCGGCTGTTAATAATTATCTAACCTTGTATTATTGAATCATGGAGGGACAGCATGAACGAAAGACACAAGATCACGTAAGAACGCGACGTTGTTTTTGTAACTGGTTTTGAGAAAAAGGTTTCCGAA